GGGGGGGGGGGGGGGGTGATCACGTTTCACGCACAAATGTTAACAAAGTTCACGCGTCACATATGCTTTTAGCTACATTTTACAACTTTTTTGATATTAAAAAAACTTACGAATCACGTTAGTCCTTTAGTTGCTTTTCACGCGTGTTGCCCTCATCACGTGTCACACAAAACCTTTGCCACTTATGACACTAATAGTCACTAATGGTAGAACATTATTCTGTGCTGGGCCGAAGTTCCAGATCAGTAACTGTTTCTTTTTCTGTTAGATATAGCTAAGTATGTATACGCGGTTAAAAGCGAGGATGAAAAAGGAAATTTTATGAAGTTCAAAGTCGTACAACACGCAGCAGATTGATAAGCGATCCTATATAAATCCTGTATAAACTAGTCGCTAACTGAATATTTTGCACCTACCGGGAATTTTGCTAGATGTAAACGTCGCCGGAAAACGTTCGTAGCTTGCAAAAAAATAATGAAGTCTGTAGGGATTTAACTTAACTGGGCTGTGATATGGCTTCCAAAAATATTCGTAAGAAAGCTCCAAGACGAAGAAAGATTATCCTAGCACAAATTCTGTAAACAGACATACACAGAAGAATTATTTACGCAAAGCCAGACATTGCCTAACAATGGCGTCACGCATTCGCGCCTTTTCAGAATGGACATATCTGTCAATCAAACTAATCTGATTGCCATAATACAATTACATGTAAATCTGGGTTGAGTTATTTAAATAATTCTTTCCTTCAGTTCGTTCTTAGTTCTTTTTCTGGGTCAATAATTTTGGCCTGGTGCCTCGCGACCGCGAAAAATACGCCGAAAAAAAACTTCCAGGCATCGGAAGTCTTGTTATGATTCACGTGGCTTAGCAATATAACTGATGAAATAAACCAAAATAGAATAAATAGTTACAAAAAATAAAATAAAATAGATAAAACACTTTATTTAAGCGTTGAAGAGTTAAGGACTGCTGGTCTAATTGGAGACACTGAAATACGAAAACGAATATTGTAAACAGAAACTTGTTAAAAATCCCATCTAAGATCATCTAATGGGAGGCAACATGACGAATTGTTCATGCTATCTTCTGATTGGAGACTATGGATCGGAATTTCCACAGATATACAAATGAGGATTTACAAAAACTGTACTTAAACTGACAATTTCCACACATTTGTTTTATGGCAAGAGTACATAGTTAATCAGAAGCTTCAAAAGTTGAATATTCTCTTTTTGGGTGGATCTCGTACCCAGGCACTTACAGGGATTTTATGCTGAGAAGAAACAGGACAAGGGTACAAAGTATTACATGTTCCAGACAAACAGAAAACTTCAGCGCAGACATTTAGACTGAAGTGGTGCCATGTGCAAGGCAGGACTGGGGCAGGAATTTCTGCTTCACAAGAAATTATGTTTGGATTTCTGTTTGCTAAGTAAACACAAGTAGATTTGTTTAAGCTTGAATAACGGATGTTTAATAGAGCTCTGTATAAAAGTTTCCCCGTTATGACAAACATTTGAGTTGGAAACCATTGAAATATTAATAAAGAATGTTAGCTTTAGCCAGACATGATGAGGGTGTGAAGGCGATTAAAAAAAATAGCAAAAAACTGCTACTGTAAGCTACTAACTGTAAGCTATATATGAGCTTAGCCTAGCAATGAAATGGTCTCCTCTGCTAAAGATATAGTAAATAATTACTTCAAATACTAAAAAAAAAAAACAGTTAAAAATTCTTATTTTTTACAGTAAGGACACTCCAACCACAAGCACTTGACATTTTTTTTGTAATTTTTTTTTGAAGGCCATAGAATAAAGGCTCTTTATATAATGTATAATATTAGCATCTTTAAAGTGTAAAAACACTTAATACTCTTGTTAAAAGGAAAAGCCCGCATTCTATGGTCACTAAAAAATGTACAAAAAAATAACAAGTGTTCACGGTTCAAGTGTCCTCACTTTAAGTTTTGTTACATGTATGTATAAAATTTTAACTGCTATACAAAGTGATGTTTTTAATATCTGTTTATTTCTGAAATGCACTCTTGACAGGGTTGTAAAACAAAGTTAACATATTCCTAGGATTTCTCTTCTTCCCATCCTCTCGGGGAACAAGGCTGGACAAATTATACCTCCAACCCACATTTATAACTTTTTTTTGAACTATATTTAAATTTATAATTAAATTGATAAAATATTGTTCAATAAGGCATTCAAAATCTTCTATATGTTTCTATTTTGTGGCAGCTTTTCTGACCAATGTATTGTCTATGGCTAGTCCTCCCAGGATGGTGCCAAGGAGTCCTATCAGGTTGTCTTGCCGATTTAAATTCTTGGGTGGAAGAACTGCACTGTGAGAGCAAAATGTCTTGCCCAAAAACACAATTAGTGACTCTAGCCAGCATGTCAGTTGGACTGGCCAATAGGCTGACTGTTACGCCAGTGAGTCTCTGACTGCTTAGTGGCTGGTATTGAAGTAAAAATTAAAGTGAAAGGGCAGAGGGGGTAGAAAAGAAGGCTTATTATTGTGAGAAAATAAAGGATATATTTATATAGATGAACATCAATGTATTATTTGATCATGCATAGGGTTTAATATTTTTAGATGGTTGAGATGTTTGCAGAAGATAATTGTAACTGATTTGCACCTCCCTTCCCTTTTTTGTTGTGGATAACTCCCCCCTTTCCCTCCGGGATAGGAAGGAGAATTCAGTTACTTGACAGATTGAGCTGGCTGCATGGTGGGTGGGTCAACATCACTTCCATAGTCAAAGTAGTTCTCTCTCACAGTTGATTTTGCATCATGTTTAACATCTACACCAGCCTCTGTGTCGATTTCTTCTTCTTGTTCAGGGTCACTGTCACACAAACCAAGTACATCAAGGTCTGCTGCAGTCTTTTTAGCTTGATCTTTTGTCAAATATGCACTACCCGGTCTTGCATGTGCAGTAGGAGGCTGAGCAGTAGCTGGCCTTGCAGAGGGAGATCTCGCAGACATAGGCCTAGCAGATGTAGGCCTTGACAACTTGGGTTCCTTGAAAGAAGAATCACCTCCTGCTGATAATGACAGAGTAGATGAATCTACAGTTTGTTGGCTGGATTTGTCAACATTTGTGCCCAAACCTTTGCTGGATTCCTTAAGCTTCTTTATCTCTGAATCAAGAATATCTTTAACCTTTTCAATTGATGGCTTAAGTTCATTATATTTTTCATCAACTTCTTTGCATACATGAATTTTTGGCTTTTCGGAAGATTGAACCTCAACATTTGCATCCTTTGGTTCACCACTGTTTTTTGTGTGTTGGTGACAAGAGCCACTGGCAGTTCTGTCAGTACCATGACTTTCTGGGCAGTCGCAGCCTTGTGGTTCAGGTCTGGGTTTTTTGCTTAATACCCATCGGTATGGATTGCTTCTCTTTACTGTAGAGGTATCTGACTTGGCAGGGACTGGTGAGCGAGAGACATTCTTCAGACCTGTATCAACCTGTTTTCTTGGCGACATGATTTTTTCCACTCTTTTCTTCCCAAGCTCTTTAATAACAGCTTGCAGATGTGAATCTATCAAGTCTCGTTTCTTTTGTATCATTCTGTCTTTGTCTGCACCACGTTTAACTCTCAACCATTGATCATAACTCAGTGATTGCATTTTTTTAGCTGCATCCTTGTCAGATGCACTAGCTATTGCTTGTGCGGCAGGGCTTTTTAATGATCTTTCTCTTGATGTCTTTGGTCTCTTCATGGATGTTGTTGAGTGGGAGGGTGACCCAGTTTCTGTACGATCAACAGCAGTCTTTGGTCGATGTTTGACACGATTTGCTGTGTTTTCTGAGGTGTTTGAATCAACTTTGGAATTAGGTGAGGACATAGGTGGGCTAGTCATTGGGATTGCACCATTCGCAGAAATGCTTCTATCGTTAGTATGATCATTACTGCCTAGGTGACCAGAGGAAGGCTTCCTATACTTAAAACTCCTTACAACCCTGTACTCAGGAGGTGGTGGTGGGGAAAGACCACCCCTCTGTGAGGTGGAACCTTCTTGTTCAGGTGTAACCCTAGTGCGGCTCTTTCTCCAAGCCATTCTTGCCTCCTTATGTTTCCTTTTTAACCAGTCTCCAACCTTCTCCCTGGATTCTATGGCCCTTTCTGCTTGAATTCGAGCTTCTTCCTCGAGGGCGGCCCTTTTAGCTCGCTTCTCCTTTCGTTCTAGCTTTTTCTGCTTGCGAGCGACAATGGCCTTTTTATGAAGCCAAGCTTGTAAGACTGGGTTATCAGTTTCTTTCAGCTGGTGCTCTGATCTGAAATTTTTCTTTGTACCATCAGAATTTTTCACTTTGCTAAGTATGTGATCAGTTTCAGTGTCATGATGTACAACATTGTCTTTCTTTACCTCTCTAGAAACCGATTTGTTTTGCTTCCGTTTCTTTTTCAGTGTTGTGGATTTCTTATTGTTCTCTCCGTCTTCATCACTTATCCATTCTGTTTCCTCGGGAAGTGGAAATAGAGGAAACGATGACAGCCTTGTTTGACAACTTTTATTCCTACATGTTTTCTTAAACAACACTGGGTATTTGCCAACAGGGCCAGCACTGACTTTTTCTTTTTTCTCGGTTTCTGTCTGAGCACTACCGTCACTTTGTGTAGACGCTTCTGTTGTGAATTTCTTTCCATCGTTCTCCTTGTCGCTGGCTGAAGAGTCTTCAAGAATTTCCTTCAAGAATTGAAATTTCTCCTTTTTCTTTGATTTCGGCATCATGGCAAATCTTGGTCGTGTGAATGGATTCTTCACAGTTCTAAAAGCTTGCAGTATGTAGCTGAGTAGCAGCTAGTTCCAAATCTTTCTTCTCACAACTCATCTCTCAAACTTGCGAGTCTTCTGTGATGCGCTGGTTGAACACAAATACCACTCAAAACATGGCGACCAACAGTTGCACGGTCGTTATGGAAACGAACTGAAAGAGTCCTGGGGACAAGTTAGTTTTGTTCAAGATGGCGGGAAAGTAGAGCTGCTTGTAGCGAGGGAGATGTCTTCCTTTTCAAGATTTTCGCTGAATGGAAGAGTCTGCGGGTAAATCAGAGGAACCTCTTTACTTACTCGTCGATGGTATCCGATACGAAGGTTTGTGCAGTGTAATTTTGTTGACATGTGACTAGAATCATTGTCTTTCTTACTTCTGCTCGCTGTAAATGTTGATGAGATCTTCTAAGTCGAACGTAACACGTGGTTTTGAATAATTTAAGACTTGCGGTCTAATTAAAGGGAAAGTTTGATAACAAGATAAGTTCATGTATTGTAGTTCTATATAAGGCGTAGATGTACAACTTGAAGAGATTGGTATTAAAAAAGTAACATCTTTCAATCTCTGGTTTTATAAAGATTCGAATAGCATTCAATTCGAAAGTCGGAGGGGTCAGCTCCCCAGCTATAATAGCCTGATCGACGCATTTGAAATTTTATGGGGTTTCCTTACGTCGTTGAAATGTATATTCAAGTGTTCTATTTTCCTTTTAGTTAATGTAAAACACCTAAAATTATTGAAGCTCAGCTTTATAGGACAAACGAACATATGATCGGTTTAATTCAGGTTGATCAGAGTTATGTGCATGATTTGTTGACTACATTTTAAGTGAGGGACTATCTTCCCGGAAATGCCATTTTGTCAACAAGCCATCTTACCTCCATGGAGGCCTTTAGATGCATGTTGGGGAACTTTCAGAAGAGCTCAGGGGGAGGAAGTGGGGCTCGCATTTTTTAGTGTCCTATTTTTGTTTGTTTTGAATGAAATGAACATCATGTTGCTAGTTTTATTTCTTTAATTTAGACTGTGGATTTATTTCATGTCCTACATGCAGTTGTTTGCGCACTTCCTGAAAGTCAAAAATTGCTTTATTCGCCTACTTCTCCTATTCTGGCCCAATAGGTCATAAGTGGGTTTGTTACAGATTTTGGGGCATCATGTTCTGTACACCACATTAGCAATTTTATTGATAGGGTGAAAGAGAGTTTTGTTTGCCTTGTAATGTAATAATTGCATTTCATTCATACAGCACAAGTATTTTTAAAATAAACTTGCTGTGATTGGCAGTATCAGTTAGTACAGCACCTGTCACCAGTGTGTTTCTTGTATAGAATAACAGGTACCTGTCAAAAACAATCTTAAACCACCAAACTTGAAAATTTAGAAAAGCTCCAAGGGTATTTTAAAGTATTTTTTCATTCCTGTCATTTGATTAATCCAAGTGTGAACTACTTGTATCAACATCAAAATGTCAGACACATATTGTGTTTGACTGCATGGATCTCATTTCAGAGAATCCACAGAGTGCGCGAAACAGCCTTGGGGTGCTTGTTTGTTACCCTTTGATGTCTGTCATGTTGGTCACTGCAAGAAATGCCTCATCATACAGCACAGCTCTGTGGGAATCATTGATTGCAATAACAATGGCTTGTAAACAAGTACTGATTGAAGTCTGTAGAGATTGTTGAAGAAACCTTTCAACTCCAGAACTTTATTTTAAGATCTTGACATTTGATCAGATGTTCTGAAATTGCCACTAATACATGTTTCATGGTCGGAATTGTCACTAAAAATTATTGTACACAGTAGGACACTTTTTATGGAGAGTTAATGGTTACAGGATGGCCCTTTGTGATATTCAGACTGTGAAACCAAAACATGGAAGACTTATTTACATTGCATTTATTTTGTTTGGCGTCTTAATATCAATGTTGACATTTTTACCTACCCTCCGAAGGTTCTTTGTGGTGCATTCACACTACTGTAGCAGGAATACAAGCCAAGGAAAATGTGATATTCTGGTTGGACACATTCTGCTTTACAGAATTTATATCGGAATGATATTGTTCTTTCTTATTCTGGCCATAATTGACTGCCAGCTCACAGTGTTTACAACTTTCAGCCTCTGGCTTGAGAATGGCTTCTGGTTTATCAAGTTCCACCTGTTTTGTTTGAGCATCCTGTTGTCACTGCTCATTCCTGAAGGACATCTAAGCAATGCCCTAATGCATCTGGGTTGGATTGGAAGTTTTATTGTCATGGTTATTCAGCTTGTTTTAATCATCGATCTGGCAAAAACTTTAAATGCTTATTGGGTGGAGAGAATGGAACTGTCGACGAGGCCAAATGCGTGGTATTTCTCCATGCTTCTTTTAACATCTCTGCTCTACACATTGTCAGTGGTGCTTGTTGTTTATTTTTATGCAACGTATACTTTTTCAAAAGACTGCCACACAAACTTAATTTTTATCACAGCAATTGTTCTGTTGTGTGTTGTAGCCTCACTCCTCTCCATTCATCCCAAAGTCAGAGAAACTGGACTACTGCAGGCTGGGATTGTCACATCATATTCTGTTTATTTTGCATGGACGTGCATGTTACATTATCCATATTCTGCCTGCAATCCAACATGGAACTTATTAGCAGTGACAGAATTTAATTTTCACTTGCAATTCAACATGATCTTTGATCTCTTTGTGACATTTGCATTGCTGGTGTATGGTGTTGTTCGAGTGCCATCAGTGCAACATCTCTTAGCCAGTATAAGTCTTGTGGACTGTTGTATGTTTCAGTCGCAAGAGGAGAACAACCATGAAAGTCCTGCTGAAGATAATGAAAGGCCACTGGTGGTCTCGACCTTTTTAATTTTTTATCTCTTTCTTATTCTGATATGTCTTCACCTTTTAATGACAATAAGCAACTTTTACACCCCTGAGGGTATTGTAGGTACTGAAGATGAAGTAGTCGAATCTGAATATAAACTTATAGACATGGATGATTATGTGAAGTCGTTAAGTCAGTGGGTTGCATCTTGCCTCAGGATGATTGTCTGTGTTGTGTTTCTTGTCATGTATATGTGGACAATTCTTGCCCCTGTCATTTTACCGCATTAAAAAAAATGATAATTCAGACATATGCCATAATGGAAAACAATGCTCGATAGGACGTTATGAAATATCTAGGATTCTCATGCATATCTGGTAGCATGTAAGGGCGGTCAAAGTGCGAGACTTGAAATCCAGAAGATACAGATTGAAGTCCCATTCTGACTGCTCGCTGGAGTTCTTTCATAGTAGACCTGAATTCAACTCATGTTTGTAAATGGTCAACTTGTTTGCCTCAAAATTGTTTTTAATTTTCCTTGCTGATAGATCTTACAGAGCTTGCAAGTGATGTTTCATTGAACAGTGTCGAGGAGGTACCACGGTATTCATCAGGGATCCTTGGCAAAAGGAAGTCCAGAAGACGTACAGGGAGACTGGTTACAGTAAACAACCAGAAAATTGCGCTGTTGAAATTCAAAGGAACAGTGTATGCTGTTGATGAACTGTGTCCACATATGGGTGAGTAGTGCGTATGATGTCCTCACAACATGACCACAATGAATTCACTGTGCACCTCCACTGATGCAGCTCTTTTGAAAACATCACCGCAAACTGACTTGCGTAGATTGGGCAAGGTTGGATCACATGAACCAGTCCAGAGGAAGTGGTCTGGCTCTGTACATGTAGGTTGGTCCTCTGGTAAAGTTGTTAGTTTTTTGCTTCATTGGCGGACAAGTGAAACAATTATTAAAACTACATATTAATCAACTACTTGAAGTTGATAAAGATAACCACTGTTCTGAGCTCTTGATATTAGTGATGTTTTGAGCATTAGCCCTTTGTCTGTAAGCCATAACATGTAGCAAAACATTTTTTTGGGCTGTCACCCTTAGCTTTCTGTCAATAGGTATAAATGATTGAACCCAAATGACAATTAATAAGACTGCAATTTTATGTACTGTGAGTAAAATTATATTTCTTTGCAGGTGGTCCTCTTCATCTTGGTGATATTGAAGAGCTTGGCCAGGCAAAGCTACCATGTATCGTGTGTCCCTGGCACAGCTGGAAGTACTGTTTACAAACTGGACGCGTAAAATTTCCANCAGTGTATGCTGTTGATGAACTGTGTCCACATATGGGTGAGTAGTGCGTATGATGTCCTCACAACATGACCACAATGAATTCACTGTGCACCTCCACTGATGCAGCTCTTTTGAAAACATTACCGCAAACTGACTTGTGTAGATTGGGCAAGGTTGGATCACATGAACCAGTCCAGAGGAAGCGGTCTGGCTTTGTACATGTAGGTTGGTCCTCTGGTAAAGTTGTTAGTTTTTTGCTTCATTAGCGGACAAGTGGAACAATTACAAAAGCTACATATTAATCAACTACTTGAAGTTGATAAAGATAACCACTGTACTGAGCTTTTGATGTTAGTGATGTTTTGAGCATTAGCCCCTTTTCTGTACGCCATAACGTATAGCAAAGCAGTTTTTGGGCTGTCACCCTTAGCTTTCTGTCAATAGGTATAAATGATTGAACCCAAATGACAATTAACAGGACTGCAATTTCATGTACTGTGAGAAAAATTATATTTCTTTGCAGGTGGTCCTCTTCATCTTGGTGATATTGAAGAGCTTGGGCAGGCAAGGCTACCATGTATCGTGTGTCCCTGGCACAGCTGGAAGTACTGTTTACAAACTGGACGCTTAAAATTTCCACCTAAGAAGAATATAACAGTCACTACTTATCCAGTACGAGTTACAGCAAAGGGAGAAATATACCTTGGTTTCAAGTCTTTGTCGACTGACTATTTTAATGCTGGAATGGAATTCTGAAAAGCTGAATAACATTAGTGTTCTAATTACATTTGTGGCTATGTGCAGGGTATTCAAAACTGAGGGCAACAGGAAGTTTTTACATGTTCAGGTCCAGTGTAGTTTACAGTGTTGTTTGAAATGTTCAGGATTAATGTCTTATCAGATGGAATCTACATGTACAGTAGCCTTACTCCATTCTTTAAAGAGACAGTAGTCATGTTTCATTGAATGGACATGAAAGATATGGGACACATGATATAATCGAGTGTATAATATAAAGAGCCTGGGTGTGGTTTAGCTAAAAGTTGAGAGTTGGTCAACATTTTAAAAGTTATGTCAGCTCAGAAATGATGCAATTTTTTTTTAAGAAAGCCAAGGTCCAAGATCTTTAGAATTTATTGATGCACCTGTGGATAAGAAATCCCAGGGGGGCATCCCATATGAAATGGTGGGGGATGATCATCATCTTGCTTAGGGGTATACTGTAAATCAAGGAGAGTGTTGATGATAAAATGCTACTGTTTTTAGGTGTCAAAGTATCTTTTAGGGTGCACTCAAAGAAATAATATTAATTAAAAAGAGGTGCTCTTATTTCCACTTAAAGGCTCAAATTTTGCCATTTTGCCCTCTCGAGTCTGGTCCACTAGTGTGGCTCCTTTCCTGAGCAGCAGCTGGTAATCAAGCCTATTCCATTTTAAGCGGTATCTTTTAGCCATGCCAAGATTGGTCTGTTTTAGAGGTTTAATTCAAACTTTGCAACAAGCATCCCCAACCTCTGCATATGGGAGTTCCCCTCCCTCCTCGGGCGAGAAATACGCTGGAATTTCAACTGACGGCTGGGAAATCACCCAAACTGAAACTAATAACATCACCTCATCAAGACTCTCTAGTTAACAACATGCTCAAATCATGTCTACATCTCTCAGACATGCCACAGAGCGACCTTTGATCTTTGCTAGAAAGTCAGTAGGGTAATGTGGTTGTGCTATTAGTGTCGTAAACTTGACTGAGCACGTGGTTCATGCCAGAGGTGTTGCTATGCACCTGGATGTATTCGTGTACGTAATGAGATGTGCTGTCCAATTTGGAAATAATTGGATGTAAACAATTTGGAAGACTGACAAAATTGGACTAGGTCACAGGCTGAGTTCAATTTGGTAGTCAGAGAAATTTCTTTGAATTCAATTATTTACAGATTGGACTAGGGTGTATAGTCCTTTGTTCTGTGCATAATTATTATATTGTGCACAGAATTGTTTAATTTGTATACTACATGTGTGTAAGGCCCCATCCACACTACGCCGGAGAAATTTGAAAATGCAATAATCTGTTATTTTGAATTTGTGTTTGAGGGAAACTCAGGCCATTGTAGCCTGGCAGGGAAATCACATGATTTGTGATGTCATTGTTTTTGTAAAGCTCTGTTTTCAACATGTTCTCTGTCCACACTTGAACACAAAGCCAGCGATAATCAAATTCTTCTTGTTTGAAGAGCCTTTACGAAAAGCTCTGTTTTTGTGATGGATTGGTGTGGGTCTAGCCGTAGAAATAAAGCTGTGTTTACAAAGTTCTTTGGTGTAGTGTGGACAGGGCACAAATTAAGAATTAATTTGGACAGTTTGTAAAATTAACAAATAATTGTGCTCTTGTGTGTACGGGATTTTGGGCTGACAATATAATTATTGTGGAAACATGTTGACAAGATAAATTCTGTAGATCAGAGCTCTTGAGTTAATCAGACTGTTGGCAAGGCAACTGTTTGGAAAATCGTGTAGGTCCTCTCACTAAATAGTTCAATTAACACAAGTACTTTGTAACTCATGCTTATTATGAACGTTAGATAGAAATCTAGAATGTTTCACATTCATAATCTCCCCTATCTCCAGGCCATATGTGAGCGAAAACAAAACTGATATACCAACTGTAAATAAATAACGTTTGCAAAAAATATATTAAACTAAAAGTGTTCCAAGTCCTCTTGTTGTGGAATTTAAAGTGTCACCCACACAAGGGATTCACCATGAAAACTGTGTGCAAGAATAGAATGTTTTTTTTTTTTCTTGTTACCAACAAACCAGACTCGTACCTAGTCGCTATTTACGTGTTTCGGGGGGAGGAGAGAAGATTGGATACTAGGGTGGATTAAGGCACGAAGGGTGTTATGGGAAGGGTCAAAGGAAACTTTTCCCAACTCTTCCCAGAACTCCCTGCATGCTCCACTTGATCCAGACTGCTTTCTCTTTGAATCAATCCAATCTGCCCTGTAAATAGGGACTGGGTATGAGTCTGCCAACTGACATACTTGGTTTTCTCTATCATCTTACTTTGAGTGAAAGTTATTTTTCCATGCGAGACATCTGACCACAATTCTAGTTAAATACTTTCTATCAAAACTTTATCTACAATAGTAATCGAGAACGTCTGTAGAAGGTAACCATGCATGTAGATAGTTCTTGCATCTCTTTTGGAGTCGAGAAACTCTTGCATTTATCCCAAGCGTTGTTTCACACAAGTTTCGGTGATCTTAATGGGATAGCTATCAGCATGCGACGAAGGCTAAAGCAACCTAAAGCAACCTTTGAAGTGATTCTTGCGTTTTTGGGAATTCCTGGTAAGGTGATTTGACTCGATAACGTGGTGACTTTTTTGAATCGATTTAACCTTTGCCTTTGCTAGCGTGGTTATCTTTAAGATCTTTTTTGTTCTTTTTCAAGCACAACTTGTTCGCCAGGATTCGCTTGTCCCTGTTCTTGGTAACTGAAAATGAAAACAGATAATGAATACACGGACAAATAAATGCCGCAAAACTAAAGCATGGTTATCTCATCGGACCAATCACAACAGGCAGAAATATATAATGGAATGAGCCAATCAGAACTGGAAGAAAAAAAACCGTGCCAAGCATGTGTAAAGCGCGGGAAAACTTGGGACCGACGCCAAACGAGAGGAAACGTGAGTGGGAAATCATGACACCTATGTCAAACACGGGAAAAAGTAACTAGTGTATAGTGCGAAGGAAACACGAGACCGCCCAGCAAAATGTAGCTAGTGTACAGCGCGGGAAAACATGAGACCGATGCCAAGTGTGGGAAAACCCGCAAAAAGCAGCATGCCTGTTTCGATTGGTTAAAACCAATAACCAATTAGGGAGCTAAGAAAAGAGTTCAACGCTTTGATTTTTCTAACTTACAGACGAAAATTCTAAAAAGCTTTCAGAAGTAGCCGTTTACCTGATCTGCAGACCCCGTCCGCTTTCTCTCCCCAAGCTGTACCCAGTCCTCTTTGTCGTCTGACTGAGGGAGGCCTGTACTCGAATTCCATCTTTCGCGTTGGCTTGGTAACCAGCTTAAGAGCCATAACTTGAGTGGAAATACGAGTTTAGGATCTACGCCTGCTTTCTTTTCGTCTTCGGTTTCTGTTGAGAGAAACTTAAAACTCAAGGTGCCATCCACAGAATTATATTTTCAAAAATTTGCTCATGTTTCTGGGATAACACGACATCAGACTACATCATAATGCCATGGTATTAATCCCAATATTTCACTCCTCCTTTGATATCAATTTGCCATGCCAACATCATGGTATCACTCACCTAGCAACAGACTTGTCAATGTGCCTATCACCATGGTGACTGCCCAACCAATAGCGCAGTACCACAAATACGACGTACTGTAGAATGTGGCCAGTGGATTACTGTAAGAAACGTGGCATAATATCGCGTTAAAAAACGCGTTAACGCGTTAAACGTTAAAAAAAAGTAAGTCAATAACTGAATTATTCACCTCAGTTTAAGCTCAAATATTTTGACTTACACATGATGATGCGTGATGGGATAATGTATTCCAGTGTCGTTGTTCATAGCTGCCTGGGTCTTGTTGAATACGTCAGAGGAGCACCCTGAAATGCACACAGGGCCCCGGTAATCATTTGGCGGGTAGAGCTGGGCACCAGTGAAAAGCCACACTGTCATAGCCAGACCGCTGGCTACTCCAAGGTATGCGCCCTATAGGGGGAGTGAAAATTGTCAATGTTTTAATGATTAAAAAATATTTATGCCAGTAGTTTTCAAAAGACTACAAAAGTAAAAATGACCTTTAAGGCATGTATAATGTATAGTATAACAATCCAGGTGCGGACCTAGGATAAACGGCGACCGATTTCCGAAACAATGAGCGTCGAAGTTGCAAGCTTCTAGAGGGGTCCGAGGCCGTGGTCCGCAGTATCAGTTTTGGATTTAAACTCCCTAAAGTCCCCTTTCCTGGGTTTCTGAGTCATTATGCAAAATCTGACCGATAATGCCGTAAAACGGTGGAAACCGGTATGGATCCCGGCATGCGATCATGATTCATAGCGGAGGCATGCAGCCCATGAGAGCTTCGTTCCCCTACCGAGCAAGTCAGAGCATTCTGACCGCGCGTAAATTAGGGTGAGAGCAAAAGAAATCGGAGTGGGGCTGGTATAGTTTTCGCACATGATTGACCGGCTGAAAACATTTCTTTATTATGATTAGCAGAGATACGTGACGAGACTGGAAAGTTAAGGTATAAAAAGCATTTTCAGAAAAAAAAAAATTAATAGATATTCACCTTGCTGTTAGCTCGTGGAATCAGCAGCCCAAGCATGAAGATGCCGAGTAACGGACCGCCCGTAACATACAGCAAACCAGAGAACACCTAAAAAAAAAATATATAAACAGTGACGATGGAGACGTGCTTTTAAATGAGAAGTACTTACGTAGACAAA